TGTCTTTGATTTTGTCTCTTTTTTGCCTTTCATAACAGAAGTTTGAAAAGTCCACTTCGATCTATTGTTCTCCATCCAATATAAAAGTCAAAACAGTAAACATTTTCTTAAATAATATAGAATAAACTTCTCCAAGCTTGCACGTACAACACGAGGTCTACATCACGAGCAAAGGCATTTTGCTTCACTTTTCTAAACTATCAACGGAAGATACACACCAGGGCATCTGGTAAAAGTGAATTATTTTCTTCATTGCCATTCTTTGATCTAAATGTATAGTACATGCACTAATGGTGACTTTCTGAGTAATACAGTAACTGCATATCAGAGGTAATTAGGTCTGCAGCAAACATGCAAGATGTTCCTTAGTTACCAATGAAGTTTTACCAGAATATTCAGATTGTGTATTATAATTGCCCGATGCCAGACAAATATACCACAGGTTAAGAAGCTTATTATTCCTTCTTCAAAGTTAACAATAACTGACATAAACCTTTTTAGATATGTTTTGGGTTTTTTTTTTTTTTTTTTTTTTTTTTTTTTTTTTTTTTTTTTTTTTTTTTTTGGAAATTAGGGATGATAAACCATAAAGCTATAAAGTATCTAAAAATGCCTAATATGCCAGATATATAAATTGCTTCTAAGAGGAAGATGTGCTGGCTATTATTGCCATCTGTAGTCTTAAATCTGGACCTTATATACCAAAAGATTCTCTGGTTGTTCCAGTCAATATTGTCCAAAATTTATACATTAAAGAAGGCTATACTCTAGTTAGCCCATCTGTGCTATAAAATGGATTTGCTAAAGAAAGTGGTCAAATCAGTAGCAAGAAATATTTGCCTAGGTGCATTTCACTGCTAACTAGGTAACAAAAGTTAACCTCATCTTTGGTTCTGAGAGAAAGGAATTATCATCATGTTATGGAATATTTCTTAAATTTATATAACTTGTTATACTGGCATATTTGTTAACTATTTTTTTCTAAAGCACTCCTCTGCACTATATGGAAGTTTTATCCAAATAAGATCCTACACAGAAATGTGCCAAGCTTCTCTTCTAATGCTGGCAGAAAATGAATTTATGATCAGATTCTAAGTCTTTCACTAATTATTTTGGGTTTATTTTAATTTTAGGAACTATACAATAATTAAATCAATTTTCTACAATCAAAGCAAAAATAAGTTGTGAAGTTCCCTGAGAATTAAATTGTTTTTACCTTTACTTCAAGCTATTTCACTTTCTTTACCCAGTAACAACATTTTTTGTGAGCATTAATTAACTGCATCTGCATGTGACACACGAACACTGCCATATACCATTGTTCTACCTCTGTGCTGAAGCACGCTAAATCAACTGCTAATGTGCAAATGGTAGTCATATATATTTCACATGAATAGTGCTGAGACTTAAATAATTTCAAAAGAGATCTATATTTGCCTCTGCATTAGTTTTGACCTTCAAATAAGTCATATTGTTAGTTATATAAAATAAAAGCAACAAGAAAAAGTTCTACTCAATGTTCTAATGCCTACTTAGGAATAAAATTTTATCAGTTACTATAATACTCAGAATCTTCCTGATTTCGTAAAGAATAACAGAATCACGGGATGATTAGGGTTGGAAGGGACCTCTCGAGATCATCCAGTCCAACCTTCCCGCTCAAGCAAGGACACCTAGAGAATGTGGCACAGGGTGGCATCCAGACGAGTTTTGAAGACCTCCAGAGAAGGAGACTCCACAGCCTCCCTGGGCAGCCTGTTCCAGGGCTCTGTCACGCTCACAGTAAAGAAGTTCCTCCTCATATGGAGATGGAACTTCCTGTGTTGCAGTTTGCACCCATTACCCCTTGTGCTGTCACTGGCCACCACTGAGAAAAGCTTGGCCCCTTCCTCCCTACATTCCCCCTTAATGAACTTATACATATTAATCAGATCCCCTCTCAGCCTTCTGTTCTCCAAGCTAAACAGGCTCAGCTCACTCAGTCTCTCCTCATACGAGAGATGTTCCAGTCCCTTAATCATCTCTGTTGCCTTCCGCTGGGACCCTCTCTAGAAGCTCTACGCCCTCTTGTACTGGGGTGTCCAGAAGAAAGCAAGAGAGAGAGCAGATCTCATCTCTTCAAAACAAAACAAAATAAAACCAAAACAAAACAATCTAGCTATTCTCTCAGCAAGATCTTTATATGTTCTGGATTACTGGATTTGTACATTGGTGTACATGAAATACCTATATATGAATTTAACCTCATGAAGTTAAACAAGAGCAAGTGCAGGGTCCTGCACTTGGGGAGGAATAACTCCGGACACCAGTACAGGCTGGGGAATGACCTCCTGGAGAGCAGCCCCACAGAGAGGGACTTGGGCGTCATGGTGGACAACGAGATGACCGTGAGGCAGCAGTGTGCCCTGGTGGCCAAGAAGGCCAATGGGATCCTGGGGTGCATTAAGAAGAGCGTCTTCAGCAGGTTGAGAGAGGTCATTGTCCCCCTCTACACAGCCCTGGTAAGGCCACACCTGGAGTACTGGGAGTCCAGCGCAGGGATACCAGGATGATCAGGGGCCTGGAACATCTGCCCTGTGAGGAAAGGCTGAGAGAGCTGGGCCTGTTCAGCCTGGAGAAGAGAAGGCTGAGGGGTGACCTGGTCAGTGTCTATAAATACCTCAAGGGAGACAGTGAGGAGGAGGGGGCCGGCCTCTTTTCAGTGGTGGACAGCGATAGGACTAGAGGAAACAGCCACAAGCTGAGGCACCAAAAGTTCCACAGGAACTTAAGAAAACACTTCTTGACAGTGAGGGTGCCAGAGCCCTGGAAAAGGCTGCCCAGAGAGGTTGTGGAGTCTCCTTCTTTGGAGATCTTTAAAACCCGCTTGGATGCAGTCCTGTGCCATCACCCTTCATGCAGGGGGTTTGGACTAGATGACTTCTGAGGTCCCTTCCAACCTTAAGAATTCTATGATTCTATGATTCTATGATAATGACTTAGCATAAGTCAATGTATTTTACCTAAATGTTGTCAGACATTTCTTTTGCAAGTATGACAAATTGATGGTATATACCTCCTATGATTTCATTAATGTTTTAGCAGAATATGTAATTTTAAAACACTTTATTGTTTTATCTAAGCAAGTTTGAAGTCTTTACATGAGTTTGAAATCTTTGACGATTCCATGATAGAAGTATGACTGATGCTTGTACAATGATACTGGTATAATAAGCAAGAGAAAAAAAAGCATTTAAAGTGTATCAGGAATTAATGTTATATAATGTTAATTTCTATTATATAACTTCAATTACAGGCAAAACCAGAAAATACTATGTTCTATACAGATTTTTACAATAGTAAATAATTGTACTAGAAAAACTAACCAAAAAATAATGCCTTTTGGCCTTCTTGCCAAGCCTGTCTTTAGTTTTATTTGAATGAAAATTTCCATATTACACTGCCAGCATAAGCAATAACATTTCAGATACTCTTTCTTTGACTGAATTCAATTCAAAGCTTCCTATATTAATATCTCATTAATAATGTTGAGCTAGTAAACCCAACCCAGTATTCAGAATGTTGATAGCTACACAAAGCATGGTCGATAGTGTATTCAGTAACCTTCACGTTCTTTTCTCTCTCTGAGATTTTACTGAATTATCAGAAATAGTTTTTTTTCGGACTTTGTGTAGCTTAAATGTTTGGAAGGATTGGAAAACACTGTGATTGTTTTATTTTTCTTTTCAAAATATTCTTTATTTTTTAATAAGTTCTGGATAAACCTGAGAAAATGAGTCATGTTTAGAATGATTGTTTTTATATTCCTACTAGGCCAAGAAATTTTGTCAGAAAGACAGTATTGATAAAGATTTCCAGTCCTCTTATCCTTTGGCAGCTCTCTGATTAGAATCTAAATATTGCTTACTCAGTCCTGTTCTGGTCTGAGATTTACCTACTTAATACAGAAAACAACCTGTTGCACTCAATAGTCTTTAAGCTAGACCAAGAAAGTGATGGTTTACAATGCATTTATAAAATTTTCTGCATTCTTTTTTGACTTTAAAAATAATAAAGACAAGACAATCACTCAGAGATCCTCATTAATCTAGAAGAACTAAGACTGAAATCAGATAGAAATTGCCTGTAGGGTCTGAGTGAGATCCAACTTGTTTTAATGAGAAGTATAAAGGAATAAAGTCTATTCTCTGGGAGAATATGCAAAATAGATAACTTTATGATTAATTAACATATATTCAAGTAGAAAGACTTCAAAATCAACTATGTACCATTGTATGTACTTCTCGTATGTTCAATTCTATCAATCTGGAGTATGACTATTATTCAGACTGAATGGAAACACATAACACATCATCTTTCTTTCTCTCCTCATGCCCTGAATCACTGAGTGCTTATCCAGCTGTAATCAGTGTTGTCAACAATTCCTCTATTTTGAACTATCACCTTTTCAGGACTCCTTGAAGTTTTAACTCAGAAGCTATGGCAATGAATTCATTATAAATATCAAAATATGTTTGTATGGCTCCTACAATTGTTCTTTTAACCTATGGAGCAGTTATGAGGGCCATGATCAATCCAACTGAAACTGGTCAAGAAAGTCTTATACCTCACCCTGCGTTATAATAAATGTTATCTTATACAGCAGACATCAGAATGAAGTTATCAGGCCTGTGATTCTAGGTGGTAGATCTTCAGCTGATTAAAGCAATTCTAATCCATTAAGATAGTTTCATTGACATTTGCTTTTGCTCTTTTAAACTGCTCTTTCCCATAGGAATTGCTTCCAGACGTCAGAAGTTAACAGCTATGTCAGCTATGGTTGCTAATATTTTTGAACACGTGCAACTCTTAGTTCTCCAGTGATCTCTTGAAATAGTATATTAGATCATGGAAGTCTCTGCTATGAAACTCAGTGGGTGCAAGTGTAGCCAGACTTGGCTCTGTTAAAAAGCAATACAATTCCAGATTGCATGAATTGGTAAATCACCTGCTAAACTCACAAGTAAGCGTCCTCTTCTGCTCAATACTGGTAAAGCTCTATCTCCAACCTCTGCTCAGTTTTGGGCCCGTTGTTCAGAATCCTGTGGATCAATGGTAGAAGCCCTAGGAGAATTATGTAGGAAATATGATCAACAAGGGGAGACTGAAAAATTTTGAGTGCATAGTCCGTAGAAACTGTAAGGACTTTCAACATCTTAGTTTGACACTAAGTTAACCATGAGTGAGCAGTGTGCCCTCGTGGCCAAGAAGGCCAATGGCATCCTGGCCTGCATCAGGAGGAGCGTTGCCAGCAGGTCAAGGGAGGTGATTCTGCCCCTCTACTCAGCTCTGGTGAGGCCGCACCTGGAGTACTGTGTTCAGTTCTGGGCACCCCAGTATAGGAAGGACGTGGAGCTTCTGGAGAGGGTCCAGAGAAGGGCAACCAGGATGATTAAGGGAATGGAACATCTCTCGTATGAAGAGAGGCTGAGCGAGCTGGGCCTGTTTTCTCTGGAGAAGAGGCGGCTCAGAGGGGATATGATTAATATGTATAAGTTCAGGAAGGGAGAATGCAGGGAGGAAGGGGACAGGCTGTTCTCACTGGTGGCCAGCGATAGGACGAGGGGTAATGGCCACAAGCTGAAACACAAGAAGTTCCATCTCCAGGTGAGGAGGAACTTCTTTACTGTTAGGGTAACAGAGCAGTGGAACAGGCTGCCCAGGGAGGTTGTGGAGTCTCCTTCTCTGGAGGTCTTCAAAACCCGCCTGGATGCCACCCTGTGCCACATGCTCTAGGTGTGCCTGCTTGAGCAGGAAGGTTGGACTAGATGATCTGTAGAGGTCCCTTCCAACCTTAAATATTCTGAAATATTCTGAAATATTCTGAAATCTGTGTTGAAGTATTTGTGAAAACAATTCCCCAAAGAAAGGAAGAATTGTTCCCTTTCTTTACTGAAAGGACAGGAAGCTTGCTAGACAGAGAAAATCAACTTGAATAGAGGATTTTGGAAGACCTATTTTAAAAAACAGGAATTTTTGCAGTGATAAGAATCATTAACTTTTGGAATAGCTTTACGAAGAAGATTCTGTCTTCACTGCTGATTTGTAAGTGCTAACCGGACAAGCATTTAGCGAAAATTGCATTGGTAAACTTGATCTTGTCTTTAAAGTTAAATGATCTCTTGAGGTTCTTTTAAGATTTTTTTTTTTTTTTTTTGACCACCTGGTTTTGAAGAGAGATTAAGGCTTTTCAGGCCTCTTCTAGGAACCTCTTAAAGTGTGCATTTGTGATATAAAAATACAATTTAAATATTATACTTTTCTCTGAAGTAAGCTACAGTCTAATGATACCGATAACAACTATAATTTCCACATCTCAAAGAGAACTAGGAGAAGAGAAAATAGCTTCCCACTTAAGTATTTGTTCAGATTGCCACTTCTGCTTTTTGACAGACCCTTGTTTTCTGTATCAGTTAGTATGTAATCCTGCAGTGTTATTCTTTGTCATGGTGAATGGAGATGTTGTTTAGGAATCAGTCACCATCCTGTAAGGTTTTAAGAATAATTCTGTACAGTGACAAGAAAGAAAAGGAAAAAGCAGTCAAACATAACTAAAAGACCACAGAAATAGTTCCAAGGATCAACAGCAATTGATATAAACTTCCTTTCAAAGAAGTACTTTGAATATATTTTAAAGCTGGATACCTTTTGTGCTTGGGTTGAAAAAGAGAGACTTACCATGTGCCTGCAATAGCATTCGATTTGCATCAGAACCCACCTGCAAATGTGCCAACAGAACAACCTTTGTTCATATCATGTGTTAATCTCAAATTGCAAACTGGATACCTTCTGAGTGAAACCGGACCATATAGATTCCGCTTTGGTATCTCACTTTTCTGTGCTCCACTTTCTTCTATTGTTCAGTCCATGTTCATTGTTCAATGTTTCCGTTGTTCAGCTTATAGGTCTAAAGCAGAGCTAGTCCAATTTAAGATATACCCAATGAGTGTATAACTTGAATGGGGGGTTCACAGCAACAAGAGTTTTGCTCTGCTGACTGGCTCTTATTTACTGTACTACTCTAGATGGGCATTCAGCATTCCCATTTAAGCAGCCTAGTCTGCCTTGGTTGACTCCAGTCATGGCTATAACGTTCCAACTGCCCTGTGGTCCCATAAACCCATGTCAGATTTCCAATAAGGTAAAAAGCAAGGAAGCACAGTAAGACCAGTCTTCTTGCAGCTGTGGCGCTGTACCATTATATATAGCAACTTCTGGGAGTTGAAGTATGATAGCCCAACCCTGATTGTATGAGGATGCATGTGTTTCGCTGGACTACAATTCTTTGTTTTTCTTCCAGGAAGAAAAAATACTATGGATAGCTGTGACCAAAGGAACTTGTAATTTCTTTGTTAGTGATTTTATGTTAATATCCAAATTTTATTTGAAGTTCATGTTCAAAATAATTATATTCAGAAATAAGACAGTTTTGACTGATCTGTAACTTCAAAAATTATAGTCTCATTAGAATTTTCTGCCTTCTTTTGTCCTTCAATCTGCCTTTTCTCTCTTCCTTCCTTCCCTTCTTACTTCTGATAAGAATAAAATTATTTTTTTCTTAGCTTTTATTTTTTTTCATTTTTTCTTCTCTCCCGTAACAGACTATCAGGCAGGATTTATGCCATGATCCAGTCTGTTTATCAGCTGGATTAGAAATGCTGAATTTTCACAGAGAAAACAAGACCTGACACAGTTTGAGTGCAAATCTGTTGTTTGTTCCTGATGGCAAACTTTCAAGCCAAAGATCTCAAATGAATTTCCAAAGCCCAGTTAGTATTTCATTTCCTTCTTTCAAAGAAAGCAATGGAAGCAAATCAAACAATCCTGTTTCACTGTGTGTGGGGAAAAGGGCAAGGAGCACAGGAGGGAAGGGAAGAGGAGTTCGTCTCTAAAGTCCAGAAAAGCAAAGTCAAATCTCTCACACATATAGGCTCATATATACTGTTTCATTCCTCAGTAGGTGGCTGGAAACATCCTGGACGATGTTTAATGGCTGCTTGTATTAAAATCAGCACTACTCTTATGACTTTTGCTGCTACGTTTCTTGTCTTCTAGCCTGAAATTGACAAATGAAGCAACTCTTTCTTTCTTTCTTTCTTTCTTTCTTTCTTTCTTTCTTTCTTTCTTTCTTTCTTTCTTTCTTTCTTTCTTTCTTTCTTTCTTTCTTTCTTTCTTTCTTTCTTTTTAATTTATCTTATACATCATATAAGAAAAGTTGCAGTTGAACTTATGTGAACGTAAGATTGGATATTGTTGTTCCTGAGAAGTTATTTATAGTTTGGATCATATGGCTGGGTTGAAAAATCATGTACCTTTTAGCCCAGAGATTTTTTTTTCCCTCCTTAGAAAAATGGGAAAGTACAAAAAGTAAAAAATTCTTCATTATATCAACAAACTCAGCCCTGGCATCAACCAAACATCTGTTGAAGATGATAAGCACTGAAACTTGTCATGAGATAGTGCATGTGACCGTATAATGACGGATTAAGTGATTAAGTGGAAATTAAGTTTTGAGTATGTTTGTTTGTTTTTATGGACCAGAAAAGTTGTCTATTTACTGTATTGCAGTGGCTTATACTTCTAAACATAAGCTTTGCCAGAAGCTTTATCAGAGGATTCTAGAGGCTGTGATAGATTGTCTTTAAAATGTCCCCTAGTGCCAAGAGATTAAAAATTACCAAAGAAAACTTGAAATTGGTGGCTGATAGGAAAAAAAGAAAGGACATTATAGTGTTATGGCATTATGGCATTAACTAATCTTACAAAAAAAAAAAAAAAAGTAATTTGAGGAAATTTGTCACTGCACAACTGAATATTCCATAATCCTCCACAAGAGAAAAAAGGAAAATTATCTTTTAAGGTAAAGAACACCCACATCAAACAATTTCCTTCTCTGTATAGAGATTAGGAAAGAAAAGAGAAATACTCTCACTTTTAGATTTCACTGCAGAGAAAAGTTGCAGATTGGAGATGATACGATAAATGAAATGCTTCTGCTGTCAAAAATAAGATTAAGCAGGATCTCATTTTTATAAAAAGAAATTCATTTGTTCTATACTAGCACCTTCTCTGTGAATGCTCTGAATGTGAGATTTTCATAAAAAATATTCAGAAATTGTCTGTTCAATTTACCCAGATTTCCCACTGAAGTCAAAATGGATTGCAACATAAAGAAAACAAATTAAGAAAAAAAAAAAAAAAAAAAAAAAAAAAAAAAAAAAAAAAAGACCATCTCTAGATAATTTTGAAATGTCATTTCCTTCCTTCCCTTTCCAGGAAATTCTCCATCTCCACCATGGTTACAGCATTCCTCCTGCCTTGCCTTTCTCATCCTGCCAGTCCAGCTGCATGAGGGCTAACTTTGCTCAAGGAAGTGCTTATTTCCCTACTTTCCAAAAAGCAGAATTGGATGCTGGAGTTGCCAAAACATGGCAAAGAATAGGCCATTCCTTATGCTGAGCCTATTCCAAATATAATGTGGGTTAAACTGATTAATAATATAGATTCAATCTGTCACAAGTGTTTCCATATAGATTATATGAATTACACTAAAGCATTATCAACACAAATATGCTCCCAGTAAAAATTTCAGCTGAAAATAACTGTTATGTGAGTTGAAAACTTCACTTGCACATTTTGAAGAAAAAATGCACAATCTTTTGAAAGTGCTTGCTTTTGAAGTTAACATTATCCATCAATGGTTTTAAAATTTTAGCTAAAACCTAAATGCTACAAAAAAAAAAAAAAGAAAACTTTAGGTCTTCTGAAGTTTCTTTTGCTATTAGACCTTTTTCTGAATTATTTTTGCCATGATACAGTATTGCTAAGAATTTTTAAAATGGATCCATTGATGAGAAATTGAAATAGAACTCTACCTGAGGTAAAAACACAAATTTGAAAAATTTCAATAGGCATACTGATAAATTTAATTTTCAGGCAGGAAGAAGGCAAGACTGGAGAACCAAAGACTTAAGATATGGAGAAATAAGTCTAGATTTGCACAAAAGTCAGGAAGTTACAAACACAGGGATAACTATGCAGCAGTTAATGCAGGTCAAGCGAGG